GTAGAGACGGGGTCTCCCTCTTGCTCAGGCTGGTCTCAAACTCCTGACCTTGAGCAATCCACCCGCCTCGGCCTCCCAGAGTGCTAGGATTACAGGCGTGAGCCACCGCGCCTGGCCTTAATTTTTTCTATCTATATATTTTTAGTTGTCCAGATAATTTCTTTCTAGTTTTAGTAGAGACGGGGTCTTGCTCTTGCTCAGGCAGGTCTCTAACTCCTGACCTTGAGCGATCCACTTGCCTCGGCCTCCCAGAGTGCTAGGATTACAGGCGTGAGCCACCGCGCCTGGCCCAGCTTACTCTTTTTTAATGTGCTAACTGTGCCCTTGAGCCAAGTTCCAGGAATCCAATAATACGCTGTGCTGTGGACATGTGCCTGTCTAATTATGCCCCAGAAATGCCCATGTTGCACCTGGAAAGGGGCAGAGCCTTCCTGCCCACACCCAAACCCTGTGGTGAATGGTGCAAAGCCCAAGTCAGCCAACCTCAGACCAGCCAGGCTCGGCCACTCTGGGCCAAGCATGGCCACAGACAGGTCCCAAGATAGGACTTCTGTGCTGACCCCAGACGGTGCGGCCAGCACACTCCTGCTCCGAGGCTGCTGTGTGCATCAGGCCACCAAAAGGCTAGGCAGGGAGACAGCCCAGGGGAGGGGGCTGGACGGGCCTGGGGTCTGGCTGGGTCTGAGGGTTTCCTGCCCCGGGAGCGGACCTGACCCAGATGGGACGGGGCGGCTGCAGCAGGTCCAGGTGGGGGCCGGGCGGGCAGGGCCTCAGTGGCAGCCACAGGCCTTGACCACCATGTTGCGGTGCTTGCGCAGAATGACGTTGTTGCTGCTGTCATAGTAGAGCACGGAGGTGGCGCTTAGCTTGGTGGGCGCGCAACATGCCTTGGGGACTGCGTCCGGCTTCATCAGGTGCACCTGGGCAGCGAGGGGTGCATGCAGTGGCATGAGCCCAGTGGCCTCCAAGGCCCATCCCCAGCTCAGCCTGCTCTCCGCCCTGGCCCATCTCCAGGACACCCGGGAGCCACATGAGGGTAAGAGAGGCCCTCAGTGCTAGGGGAGCAGCAGCCTGGGGACCACCTGTGCCCAGGGAAGGACCCATGGCACAGGGTGTCAGGTAGGGCGGCTAATGAGTACCAGGCCAAGGGCTCAGAAATCCTCCTGGCGACAACAGAAGGGAGGACCAGTGGCCCCTCGGCCAAGAGCAACATGATCAGGTGTGTGCTCTATAGTAGATCTGTGGCTGCTGCCCTGACTGCGGCCCCGGGGGAGCCTGGAGGGACCCGTTTTCTTTCCCAGGCCCTCAGCACACCCAGCCCCACCCCTTGGGCCCCCTCAGGCCTCCCTGGGGCTCCTCTTCCTGCCAGGCCTCAGCCACCCTGGCCTAGGTCTGCCTTTCTCCCTGGAGGATCTCTTGTGTCCTCGGTTCTTAAAGACCCTCCACATGCCCAGGTCTCTCAACCCCCCAGTGTCACCTGAGACTCCTCCTCTGAACTCAACTTGGGCACCCAACTGTCCACCCAACTTGTCCACTTGGGGCCCAAGGGCCTCAAGCAGAACAGCTGATGTCCTGTATCCTGACAGCACCCAATCTGCCGTCCTGGTCCTCATCCTCGTCCTCGGTCCCCTCACGCAGTAGGTGCGCTGGGCCCCCAGGTGGTCCCTTGATCCTTCTCCCCACTCCCTGGAGCCATCTGCCTTGTCTGAGCTGCCATTGCCCTGTCAGGCGACCACAGCAGCCCTCACTGGTCTCCTGCCTCACTCCCCACTGACTGCCCACCCTCCCACCGCAGCCAGGGCCTGCTAACCCCCACCACAGCTTCCCAGTGGACTTGAAATAAGACCCACCCTCCTTTCCAGGGACCCCCAGGTCCAAGGGGAGTGGCCTGCCCATCCCCAGCGTCACCGCCCTCCGCCCCCCTTCACTCTCTGCCCCAGCGCCGCCTCCCTGCTGGCCCTGAACCCCCCAAGCTCTCTCCTGCCTTAGAGCCTCATACTTGCTCCTTCTGCCTGGGACATTCTTTCTCCAGCTCCTAACACGGCTCCTCCCTGTGCACAGAGGCCCAGCCTGGCACCCTCCCCTGAGGGCATGTTCTTCTCTTGGTCACAGGACACATGGCCGTAGTGGTGGTTTGCTGACCTGCTCACCCACAGCCTCCCCCAGAGGGCAGTGCCCATCTTCCTTGCTGCCTGACAGGTGGTGAGCACCCACTTTTGTTGAGCCTCTAGGGGCCTGGGCTGAGGCAGAGGCAGGGCTGTAGGGCAGAGGGGACAGGGTGCACGTGTGTCGTGGTCAGACTATAACCGGCCCAGTGAACAAACACAAAGTGACACCCCATCTGTGCCTTCCCTGCAGCTTCCTTATGCTTGGGGTTCCCGGGCCATCGGGCTCCACGACCAGACGTTATAATCTTGCTGTTTCACTAACGCTTTTCCCTTCTGCATCGTCTCCCAGAAACGGAGACTCACCACCATCGCTGACCTGCGACTTCTGAACTAGCCCTCCTGCCTGCGTCGCTTTCAACACAACCCGCCCCATACACGAAGCCTGAACCCCTTACAAAACCCCTGCCCTCAGTTAGTCGGCTTTGAGTCATTTCTCCCATCTCCCAGTTGGTGTCACCTGTAATAAATTATCGCACTTCTTTGGCAACCCTCGTTGCCTCAGTAACTGGCTTTCTCTGCGGTGAGCAACAGGACCAGAACCCCCTTGTGCGTTTGGTAACCAGACGCACCAGTGCACACAGGCACACGAGTGTGTCAAGATCACACAGGTCCCCGTGCGAGCGTGCACGTCTACTGTGTGCTATGCCTATGACCGTGAGGAGTGGTGCCTGTCAGTCTGGGTGTCCACACACAGGGACATAAGTGACCCACATGCGCGTGTGCAGTGCATGGGATGTGCATGTGTACTGAACTATGTAGTGTAAGTGCGGGGTGTAGCCGTGTTCAGGGGTGTGAGTCTGCGTGTACAGGTGTTGCCACGAGGGAGCGGTTTCTGCAGAGCTGTGGCACTTAACTGCCTTACTGACTCCACGCAGAGAAAGCGCCCTGAGACCCGGAGCAGGTGCCCTCACTGCCCTCCTGGCTGACCAGGCCCCTCTCCTCAGGGCTCCCACCTGGGACCTGGGCGTGACGGGCGAGACACTAACCAGGGACTGCAGGATGGCGTGGTTGGTGGCGTTCATGCAGGAGTCCAGTGGGAAGGAGCACTCCCCCTCGCAGTAATAGGCCGAGTAGCCTTGCGGGGCGATGACCCAGTCCTGGGGGACATGGGGGAAGGTGAGTCCCATCACATGCTCCTCCTCAGACCCTCAGTCCTGTCAGAGGATGAGTCACAGGACGACTCAGGGCTGCCCCTCACCCTCCCTGAGCCTCAGGGGCCTGAGTCCACACAGGGACGCCCTGCAGGCAGAGCTCCGGCTCTGTCCCCCTCACACCCACCTCGCTCTGCATCTCCCCCGCCTGCCCTCCCCACCCACGCCCCCCGGGCTGCAGTCACAGCTATGCAAGCAGCACTGCCACCCGGTCTCAGGTCCTTGTAGCAGCGCCGACAGCTAAGCTGGCTGAGGATTCAGTCTTCATTTTCATGGTTTTTACAAAAACAAAAACCAAAACAACAAAAAAACCCTTCTTCACTATAAGTAACATATTCTCACTTTAGAAAGCTTGGAAAACACCACAGAAAAACATAAAAACAAAACTGGAGCCGGTCTCAGTAGCTCACACCTGTAATCCCAGAACTTTGGGAGGCCAAGGTGTTCAAGACCCACCGGGGCAATATAATGAGACCCTGTCTCTACAAAAAATAAAATAAAATAAAAATTAGCAGGGCGTGGTGGTGCCCGCCTGTAGCCCTGGCTGCTTGGGAGGAATGAGTTTCCCTTGAGCCTGGGAGGTTGAGGCTGCAGTGAGCTATGATCACATCACTGCGCTCCAGTCTCTGCAAAAGAGTGAGACCTTGTCTCCAAAAAAAAAAAAAACAAAGGGAAGAAAAAAAATTGGGCTTGGTGTGGTAATTTAGGTCTGTGATCCCAGCATTTTGGGAGACTCAAAGACCAGAGTTCAAGACCAGCCTGGGCAACATAGC